TTTTTTCTTTTTATTTTCCCCATAGATGAGTGGTTATAACATTTTTATTTAATGATATTTAACTTTTTAACACTTGTACATGTTTTCTCCTTTTATTTTCCCCATAGATGAGTGGTGAAAATATTTTGGATGTAGTGCTCCAAATCTTAAAAAATTAGCAATACAACTCGAGTCAAACATCGTCTTCTTCAAAGTGTGCAACAAATTGGAGTGTATTTGAAAGAATACACACTAAGAAGAGGAATAGATTGGAGCACCAAAGGTTGATTGATCTTGTCTATGTGCATTATAATTTGTGCTTGAAACATAAATATTTTATCTAATCTATATAATAATTGTACTATATTAATAAAGTTTCATTTTTTATTATTTATATATTCTTATATTTCTGTGGTGAAAATTTTATTTTTATCTTGAATAATAGGAATGATAACAAAAGGAAGACTTGCTTTGATCCTATTGATTATGAAAGCATAGACAATGTTGAGGAATGGGTCATGGAAGAAGATGATTCTCCAATTCTTGATTATGATGAATTGGAAAATATGATCTATAATGATAAAACAATGCCAATATGTGATACAACTCAAAAAGAAGGTTAGTTAATAATCAAAACTTCTCTTCATAGGGTTTTGATTTTAAATTTATTATGTTATTTTGTCATTCTATGAATTATCTTATTGATTATGTGAGTTAGTTTTGAATTGTGATTGTTGATTTTTATTTATTATATGTTTTTGCTTTTCAGATTTTAAGATGGCACACATGATATTGATGAAGAAGTGTAAGGTGGTGAAGAAGGATCATTCCATATTGGTGGTGCAAATGGAGGAATTGACTTGGAGTCCATTGGTGAAGAAAATTATAATAGTTATGATAGTGAAAATGACTTTCGTGAACGTGATGCTTGGTTTAATGACGATCCTCCTCATCTAGGGAATAAACAATGAACAATTTTAATTCATGCATCATTTGCATATTAGTTTGAGGTTTTAGATTTATTTTTCAGATATATGTGTGTGAGACTTATTAATTTTGAGATTTGTAGTTTTATGACACTTTTTTTTATCTATTTATTAAGTTTTTGGACTTGTAATTGGTATAAATTGCAAGGAAAAAATGTAAAAATAATAGCAGAATTCTGCCGGAAAAGTTAAGAGTGCAATTTCTAGCACTTTTGTTTTGACCCCGTTGATCAGTCAGTTGAACTAATCAGATTGACCAAACTTGGAACTGATGAGTAAACCAGTTGTATCATCGGTCCGGTTTTTAAAACCATTTATACTATAGTGTTAATTTAGTTTTGTATTGTAGGATGATGAAATTAAAAGCTCCAATTCTTTTGATCTTCTAAAAGTTATATTGTTGCGGTGTCAGATGCTCAATGAATTTTACATTATTGAGAATCGATTATAACTAGGTGAGTTGGGAGTATATATATTGACAATGGTTAGAGTATGTTTGTAATTTTTTTTTCAAAAATTAATATTCTTTTTATTGATAAAAAAATTATGAAATTAGATTCCTCCCAAAAATGAAACAACTTATAAAGGTAAATAGTTGTAAGTTATTGCATCATTTCTTGTGTCTTATAGTCATTCTATATCTTAAACAAAGTACAACCTTGTTTAAGTTTTCTCTTATCAATAAATCTCACATTAGTAAAAGATATATTAAAAAATAAGGTTTTATACGATAAATATATCCCATATTAATGTGAAATATATAAGAAAATAAGGTTGTGCACTATAAAACTAATGGCTACTTGTAAGCTGTAATATCCCAAATTTTTTGGAAATTTTATCAATTAAGCTAGGGGACTTATTTTGGGAGAAATATTATTTTGGGGCCTAATAACAAAAAACTCCAAAGTTGAGGGACTTAAAAGAAAAAAAAAAGGATAAGGATCAGTTGCTTTTTCTTTTTCTTTTTTTCTTTGTTTTCTTTCTCCCAGCCACATGTGCGTGTTCTGCTCTTCTTCTGCCCATCCCCTGCAGCCCGAAAGAAGGACCCAAGCAGCCACCGACGTCCCTCTTTGAAAAATTGGCAAAAAGCTTGAAATTTCTCCTTTCCTTCTTGTTCAAGAACAAGCTTTAGGACTTAGAACTCTCTCTCTCAACCCATAATTTTCCAGATCTGCTCTCATCCCTCTGCCGCAAGCTCCCTGTTGCTGGGTGGGTGAAATTTTCGGTTATTTTGGGTAAGAAGCAGCCATGAATTCATCTTTTCAGCTTTAATTTGGCTTGGGTTTACTTTAATTACTTTTATTCCCTTCCAATTTCTGGTAGAGCCGTGAGCATCCCCCCTGCAATTCCGTCAGCCCCCATGCTCGCCTGGTGCGGGTTCTGCTGGCCGGAAAAAAAAAAGGGAATTCTGGTATGTGCTAGCTTCTCCAAGGCTGAATTTTACCCATGTAATTGCTGGGTTTTGTCCATTTAGTTAATGCTCTGTGTTGTCCGAAAATTCTGTGGAAATAGGAAGAAATTCGGCCGCCATTTAAGTATGTGTTTTAAGCTTGATTATTTAGAATTTAGCCTGATTTGGCTGCTATGATTTCTGGAGAGAAATCCTGTGTGTGAGTGGTTTTGCCAATTTTTGGAAGTTGCAGGCAGTGTTCACGGCACTGCTCACGGCACTGTTTACGGATACTGTTCACGCACTGATAGCCAACAATTAACGGGATTTAAATGATTAGTTTGTAATATAAGAATAAATTTGGAGAGGTCTGGTCATGTGGAGATTGATAGGAATAGCATCGTGATTAGGGGTGATCTTAATGAAGTTTCACTTTGAATTTGTGGTAGTGCGAAATTAATTCTTGGATATTTTGATTAGGTTCCTGATCATTCTGTCAGTTTAGCACTGAGATCGAGTTTCAGTTTTATGCGAGTGAGGTAAGTAAATTATGGTAAAGCCCTTTGATTTTAAAGCATATTTTAAATTGTTTTTGAGATGGTGGTAAGGTTTAAATTGTTTTAAATCGATTTTATTTGCATCGAGCATGATTGGTTTGAAATGAAATTATTTTTTTTTTGCATTGAGTAGAGCATGCCTATTTGGAATGGACTGAACTGTCGTGATGAACTGAGAATTTTGTAAATTCTGAGTTTTTCTGTTAAATTCATGCTCACATGAAAATTGTGATGATTTTTATGAAAATTATTATTTTCTGGAATTGAGCATGATTGGAATGAAAATGAGACTTTCATTGTTTTTCTGGAGTTGAGCATGGCCACATAGAAATTTTCTGGTTTATTGTTGAAATTGAAGGGTACGTACAATGGGTTTAGACCTATTACATAATCATAAAATATAATATTTGTTTGAATAAAAATTTATCATAAATATTATTTAGTATTTGTGACTAAATATTAATTATTTGTGACTAACAATTTTTTGGCCATAATTACTTATTTTACAGTAATGATTATTTATAATCACTAGTTTGTAATATATTTATAATTGTTCTTCATTGATAAAATATCTTTTTAGTTACGAATTTATTTTATTAACATTGAGTATGTACAAATTTGTAACTAATATTTTAAATTTGTCATAATTATAATGAGTTATAATAATAATGGCATAAATATTACATAGGGACCCAAACTTATACAAAATTCGCAATGTTGGATCCAAACTTCAATTGCACTCAATTAAGGTTTCGAAACTCCACAAAATTCTCAAATAAGGTACTAATTGTACGAAAAATTAACTTCCGTTAAAATCTAACAAACACCGTTAATGACTTCTTGACAGCCGTTTGTCATCCGCTTCCGTGGCGTTACACCTGCAGGTCCTGGACGCCTTTGCATGTTTTTTTTTCCTTTACTTCATTT